CTCTCTCTCTCTCTCTCTCTCTCTCTCTCTCTCATATAAAACATGTAAATCAAGGCTTTGAATCAAAGGACAGAAGAAAGCTCAGACTTAAGAACAAGAGATTATTGCACTGTCAATTGGAGATACTTCCTTGCTCTGACATTTTAATGAATATCTTAAATATAATAATTTTATGCATTTTGTTTTCCATTCAAAGAGAATCAAAGACGCCAAGATAGCCATTTTGACCTGTCCATTTGAGCCTCCAAAGCCAAAGACCAAACACAAGTTGGATGTGACGTCAGTTGATGATTATAAAAAACTGCGAGTGTATGAGACAGAGAAGTTTGATGAAATGGTCAAACAGGTGAGTGGCTTGTTCTTTGTCCAAAGGGAAAAAAATAACAAATGAGGAATTTTAGGTGAAGATCTGTTAGCACAATTCCATGGAAAAATTCTGTGGCTCCCTTATTACTGTTACTAATTGCTATTTATTACTATTACTAATTGCTATTTATTATCCAGCTGAAAGACACTGGAGCCGAACACTAATTACTATTTCTTATCCAGGTTAAAGACACTGGGGCCAATCTTGTCATCTGTCAGTGGGGATTTGATGACGAGGCCAATCATTTATTACTCCAGAGACAACTACCTGCTGTACGATGGGTAGGAGGACCTGAGATAGAGGTTGGTATATAAGAGACACTTTGTTTCCTCCCTATGTAGATGCTGTTGGGGAAAATACTTGATAATTTGTTTAAATCTAGTTTGAAATTTTGATGACACGTTTTCTCTCTTATCTTACAGGAAATCTATACTGTGGAAAAATTTATCCCCCTACAATATTGTGATGATTTTATCTAGGGTAAAATCCTATCTCTACCCAAGTGGGGTATCTACATTAGAAATTAAGTCATTGTGTTGATTGATATAATTCTTTGAATTGTTATAGTTTTGAAAGATAACAGCAATGGTAAAGAAAACGCTTGTTACCTTATTTTGTCTGACATGAATTTTATAGTGAACTTTATTAAATTGTGTGTATTTTAGCTTATTGCTATAGCAACAGGCGGTAGAATAGTGCCTCGTTTCCAAGAGCTGACGGCAGACAAGCTGGGCAAGGCTGGCATAGTACGGGAACTCACCTTTGGCACAACCAAAGACAGAATGTTAGTTATAGAAGAATGTCACAACTCTAGAGCTGTTACCATATTTATTAGAGCAGGAAATAGAATGGTAGGTGTATGATTCACATTTGGTAGATTGATGAGGATAATTTTTAGTGACTTAGAGATAAAAAGTGTGTACTGTACTTGGGTAGTTAGTAGAACAACTCAAAAGAAGCTTATTCTGCTTTGCAAAAGGTTAAGCCATTTGACTCTGAGTTAGTATCTGCTAAGATTTATTTCCAAATGAAAGATGTCTCCCATGTATCCATAGGTATGAAAAGTACTGGGCATGATCAACAGTTCAATTTGTTAACTTCATGTCTCTAAGTGTTGTTGCTGCCAATATTTATCAACAAGAAAGTGAAGATCTTAGTGAGGTTATGATGTGGACTTTTTTGTCCATTTTTCAGATAATAGAAGAAGCCAAGCGTAGTCTGCACGATGCATTGTGTGTAGTCAGGAACCTAGTCAAAGACCACAGGATAGTATATGGGGGCGGGGCCGCTGAGATTGCTATGTCCCTAGCTGTCAGTCAAGAGGCAGAAAAGGTAAGTTAACAGGATAGTATCAGTCAAGAGACAGACAAGGTGAGGGATTGTAAGAAATCCATATTGGATCTGTATATGCACTTATGTATTAAGAAGCTTTTGTGAACATTTTACTCGGTGTCAGATTTCAGTACAATAAATTGTGTTACTGGGTTATTTTCAACTAGAAAAAGTGTGATCTTAGTCTTGGAGCTGCGGGTTGTAATGTGATGACTAGATCTCTGGAGCTTTAGAAATATTCTTTGTACTCCCACTACAAAATGAATATAATAACAGATCTTAATGCTACTTTTCTATGAGGCTTAAGATTTTAGTATTATATGTATTATTCCAGATCTCCACTCTAGAACAGTATGCTATGAGAGCGTTTGCAGATGCTCTAGACTCTGTTCCCCTAGCCCTGGCAGAGAACAGCGGCCAGGCCCCCATACAGACTGTAGCTGAGATCAAATCGAGGCAGGTGACGGAGAAGAACCCCAGGTTGGGTATTGACTGTATGAATAAAGGATCTAATGGTGAGTGATATGGACCTGTTATAATTAGTGTGGTACACTTAGCTGTATTCAAACTGTTGGAGATATTGTCAGTTCATAGTATGACTATTACATAAGACTGTGTCCTAAATGGAGGTCCCTAAACAGTTAAAAGGGAAGTAGTGAAGGGGAGTAAAGTCCACCCTCCAAATTCATTACTTGTATAGGTAGCATTTTCACCTTTGACTGATATTATTTACTGTCTTAAATAGAGATGCTTTGTAATGGAGGCTGTGCGTACTAAGAGGTAACATGTATGTGCAGATAAGATGTTCAGTGTATGTAGCAGTTGTAATAATAATAATAATAATAATAATGGTGTTTGTCCTGTTTAGACATGCGAGAGCAACACGTCATTGAGACCCTGAGCTCCAAGCGTGCACAGATCATGTTGGCAGTCCAGCTTACCAAGATGATACTCAAGATAGACGATATTAGATCCAGTTCTGAAAATGTAAGTTGGTGACACTTTCTTAAAAAGACCATTGGGGAGACTTACTTGTGAAAAAAAGGAATAGAAATATTCTTGTAGAGTTTTGCCTTGTTCAAGTAACATACTAGGAAATACACTTTAAGGTCATTTTTCCTGGGTCTGAAAGGTTGACATATATGTTGATGTCTTCAGTTTGTTAAGAAGTCGTCTTATTTCAAGATATTAGTTTTAATTATTCTGGATTGGAGGTAAAGCCTTTCTTTGTGATATAAACATCATCCATATATCTAAGAAAAAAAAGATGAAAGAAGACAAAATCCCATATTACTGTTTCTTCATTTAAGTTTTATGCATATATACTGCAGAGTAGCATGGTTGAGTATGTTTCACAGTATGTTTTAATAGAGATTTCATTCATATCTTCCAGTCACTGTTGACCTCAGTTTTACATGGGGTTTATTAAACACCTTAACTTCATTTGACACGTTTCCTTTCCAGATGTTCTAGTTCAGTAATCCCAGGAATACTCTGAAGTTGTTGGACCTTGGTCACGTGTACTAGTGAGAGCACCGGTAGCAGAAACTACAGTACAAACTATCAAGATTGCTATCTCATGAACAAGGTTCTGTATCAATAATATTATTTCAAAGTCAGTACCAAGATTGAACAACTGTGACGGCATTAAGCAGTGTATCTGTCAGTGAATGACACTTTGCTTATTGGGGGAAGACAACAGAGGAGAGAAAGACTTCCTGTGTAAAAGTTGAGGAGTCTCGATAGAGATTGTAGAATACTGAAAAGGAACGCTATTTAACTCCATGGGCGTCCTCAGGTGGATCACAGGTATAAGAATGGAAGGTAGATCAAGTTATCTTGCTGCAGGTGGAAATCACTTATTAATTTGCTATCAAGATTTTATAAACTGTGGATGTTTGGCATCGAAGTTGTTGGAGTCACATGCATGAATAATGCGGGATAAATCGTGTGGAATTTATATTGTGATTTTTTTTGCCAATTAATCTTTTTTTACGAACTTGTATTTTTACATGTACTTCGTGTGGTACATGATTGTGTGCTTTGTAAAAGACAATAAAAATACACGAGAAAATTGTGATTTTTTTTCGTTGTCTTGTTGCATTTTAGTTAACAATAAGAGAATTGTGGAATTACAAACTTGTCGCCTTCAATAAATACCGCTGTATTTAAAATTGTTTCAATTACGGGAAAATCTGACACAAAATGTGGTTGCTTGTCGCGCCCTCTGTCGGCCCAACCTGTAGCAATTGTGCAGGGAGAAGAGGCGAGATTTTTCTTCCCTGTAGAAACGAGGCTGTTGGGGTAGTTGAAAACTTAAGCAGCATTTACGAAAGGGATGATCTATGCTTTTTAGAATTCAAGATAAAATATATCTTATTATATTCACTCTTTCGCTAGTGCGTCCATTTCTAGTTTTGCCCAAATTTATAAGGTTACTAAGCACTTAACGCGACTTTAGTTAATTTATATGCTCTCTATGCTACTATGCTTTTTAAACGTTTACTACGTTTCAGTGTGAATTGGGCACTTCCCGAAGAAAATCCCTTCACTGTCCGCAGTCTTAGACCAGTGATGTTCAGACGAGTGTCCTTGACTCGCGGTTTTGTTATATTTTATGTTGAGCTCAGAACGAAGCGTGTAGGAAATGAAACCACTGCAGATACAGGCGTCATCTAAAACCACTGACAAGGCGGCACGCCTGCCTGCGGCCTACCTCAAGAAACAAAACTTAATTCTTTCCTTTATGTAAACCAAAGCCTGACAACTACTACACTTTATCAGGATTCTAAATATAGAGGGTGTGTTTCTCACCTCAGAAGTCACTGGATATCTACATAAAAGTTCCATTTTAGTGCATGCACAATCCAACGTTAAGTTATTAAATAAATATATAAATATAAATAAAATAACCACGATAATAATAATAATAATAATTAAATAACTTTTGACCTCTTTATTTCTTATTTACGTGAACGATGAAAGGGGAATCGCACTTCAATCATCCCTCGTTTCCTTTATCTTTTGTCTATATATATATATATATATATTCTGGCACTGTGTTAGTGCGGGCAATTGAGGGATCTACGTGAGCCAGGTGTGCAAAGACGTGTTCAAAATCGATGTGTAAACTGGACATTTTAAAACTTGTTACGCCCAAGTTTTCGCCATGACGTCTTACGTCACAATCCGGCTCAGCAATGACATAACGTTATCATTCTGCACCTGACCTAAGCTCTTTGACGTCATAATTAAGATTTTCATCATAATCAGTTGTCCTGGGGTTTCATCTTCAACAGAGATATGAAAAACCACATGGGGTAAGTATACCTAATCTTGTTTCATCAGCCTAAGTTTGGTCGAGTGTGGTAATTACATACATAAATCTGGCAATATTAAGCCTGTGAGCTGGTGCTGTTGTCAGATTAATGTGCTATTTGCTACAGGTCCCCTATAACAAGACTTTAACGGTGTTTACCTTGTTCTACACAACAACAAATGTAGTGAGGAATGTAGGCATAGACACATACATCCCTATGTATTACCCCTGAAGTTAGAGTTACTGTAGTTAGAGGGCCCCATGCGCAGAGGGGGTAGCGATTACAGTTCACGGGAAATAAAGTCACCAATTCATAAAGTCACCGTATCATAGAGGATAAAACTTCGTTCATATATCACTATTTATGCGAGTTGAAGATCGTGAGAATCATTCATCACTGGGTATAAGCACTCCGTGTCACATAGGGCGAAGAATGAAGAACCGCTTTCACGTGTAACGGGAATGGGATGTTTCGCGGATCACGCTAAATATAACGAACGTTTCACTCATCTCGGGAAATAAAAAGTTTTTCGAAAACACCCAATGGCACCCTCTAAGCATGTCAGTATATGTACATTTAAACATTTGATCGTGCGTTTCCCCGACCTCATGCACTGCGTCTCCGTCTCGTGCACAATTCTTGTAAATCTATTTTAAAAGTTGGTTATCTGTTCATCTTTTGAGACAGTAAACAATAGCGTTCTCCTAAAATAATCTTTGCTGTATCGTGTTGCATTCTTTGAAAAAAAGGCCTGGTTGAATTTGATCAGCTAGATTGTAGATGGTACTGGTTGCTAGGAGGAGTCGTCCTCAGAATAATCAGTTAATTTCCTTATGATGTTAAGTTCAAAATACCAGTACTCCTATTACAGTCATATATAGCTTGTCATGCCTTTCTAGTTTTTTCTGGGTTCCATTGTAAATTTCTGTCACTTATCGAACTAATACCGAATTCTTTTTTTTTTCATTTGAAAATATAGTTTCGAAAAAAATAAATAAATAAAAATAAAAACAAACAAACAAAAATCCGCAAAATAAGGATCGATTGCGTTCGTAAATGATTGTATAATGTCTGAACTTACTAAGAATTTCGGTGTTTGGGACTGGCCTGAGAGAGAGAGATGGTCGGTTAGCTGTACTTCGCCAGGATTTTAAGGTATACAATTACTTAAGCTCACATAAACAAGTACCAGGAATTAGTAATTTCTCTTTATTTCAGCTTAACCTATTTGGAGCCTTAGAAAGAACGCACCTTTTCATTAAATAATGTTCTATTTTTCCACCAAAGCATTAATTTTTTATCCATGTAGATTGTCTAAACAGGAATATCGTATATCGGAAAACGGACGTTAATGGACGTTTTCTCTAAACAACGGCATCTGTTCACTTGTAATGCTAAAACAGTTTGCTTGACGGTTGAACGAAACCACAAATTCACAGAAAAATAATAAAAACCGGAAACCGAAATCACAGTACAGTTTTCACTGAGCCACGACCGTGCTTTCACCCCATGACACGCGTTAAAACCTACTTCGTCCCATACCCGCTATGATGACAATTAATTATTGTTATTCTAATCCTCCGTGACGTCACGCGACCTGTTGCTTCTCCCCAAGCACGAGCTTAACACAGTGAACACAGCAAGTAGGCCCGCGAGGTCCACCGTCTTAACATCGACTTAACAACAGAATATCAGCTGCGTGTTGAGAACGAGAACTTCTCTGGCGACACCAGGTGTTTCAAGTCTCACCCACTTACTTGTGAAGTTAAAAGTCAACTGGAGATGGAGTGACACGAACGCAGGAGACACAGCTGTCGAACAGTTTATCTAACAATATCACGACAAAAACTTTGACAAACGTCGAGGCGCATCAAGGTGATACGTTCGATTTTAGAACACAAGGATCGAACGCCATCGGGCTCCTTAACATCGGGTGCCACAGGGGTTGGACCAGAGCCACGACGTGTCACATTACTAATAGGTGAGTCGAACAGGGTGACAGCCGCCATATTAGTGTAACTGGTGAAATAGGAGAGGGCTGCTGGGGTGGTGAACGTTTAGTGGCATAGTCAGTGCTCCCGCGGTATTTATCGTCCTTAATGATTATATGTTATTAAATTGTCCCATTATTTTACATACTAGTGGCATCTTGGAGTTTGCTGAAGTACTGTTTAAAACTATATGTAATGTTTTTGGGTCTTGGTTTAAATATTGAAAAAGAGGAAGTCTTATGTTAACCAAGCACGGGTAAGTGTCTATGCGGTGTCTATATATAGAGAGATAGAGACCCAGACTATTAATTCACGTGTAATATGCAGTGTACGTAGTTAGTTCTCCATCATAGGACAGCGTATGTACTCGTTGTCAATGAGGCAGCCCGCATACCACAGCATATATGTGTGTGTATATATATTCGTAGTATAAACATACATTGTATACGACCTGAATATATGTCCTTTGTTCATTGTTATTCTCTACTGCGTTCAAATAACATAAGCATCCCTAATTTATAGAGAAAAAGATGCCAAAAATCACGACCTTGAATTTAATGACAGAATTTTGTACAAAATTGTAGAACGGGTTATAACAGACTTAGAGTTTTATTTACGCTTTTATGTATTCAGTATGGGACTTGAAAGCGTGCTTTAAAATGTAAATACGGGCGCTGAAGACTGGTTGTTTGGTTGAGTGAAATCGGTGATACATGTATATGTAACTTTTGAGAACTCATCTTTGAATGAAATAGTTGGAGAGAGGCGCTTATGACAGTAAAATATCATCTCTCTCTCTCTCTCTCTCTCTCTCTCATCTAACCTATATAAATAAGCATCCATCCAGTTAATTTGCGAGGCCTGTCATCAGATATACAATTGTACGTTTTATCCGCGCATGATGGCTGTTAGGATTGACATATAATTGGACATTTATTTATTTATTTATATATTTATTTATTTATTTATTTATTCATGTTTTCCTCTAAATTTTACATTTACATATTTTCTTTAATTACTGGTCATGTGGGCTCAAGACGTGATAACATTGTACCGCTCCCATCAGCGGGTAAAACTAACACCAGTGTATAGCACATAGTCATCTATCCGTATTTATACATGTACAAGTGTAGTCCACAGACAAGCTGTGTTAAGTGTCTGAAAATTGGCAGGTTAGCGTCTTGGAAATAATGACAGGTTAGGGGTGAATGGCAACCACGACCCATGAAACGCCGAATGACAAAAATCACTTAAAACGTCCAACGTAAGAATACGCGGCGTGGTAG